TAGAAATGGGTTAATAGTTAAGGGAGAGCTAGCCAGTGAGAAGCCCTAGCCTTCGGCCAACAGTTTTATAATTAATACAGCATCCGTGTGTTTCTTTGGGGCTGAGAAGGGTGGCAGAACCTGGCAGGACAAGAAACTCCAGAGACTCCAGGAGGGTAGAAACTCAGCTACATGGCATAACTAGGGCCAGGCTGGGTTAGATGAGCCTTTCAAACAGAAACTAAACAACACGCTGCAGATCAAAGAGTCCTGTGAGGCTTGCTTTGGTACTGCGTATGGAGCCTCCTGGGGCACACGTGCCAAGTCCAAGTTTGCAAAATATACCTCGAATACAGTCTGTAGACGTGACCCTGCAGTATTCCTTCCAACAGGACAGCGTATCGTTCTGAAAGAAATTTGCCCATCTGGAAAACTCAGAGTCAGGTCCTTCTGATGTGGGGGTCATCTACAGAAACGACTGAAATAAAACAGTGACGTGACGGCGGCCGGGCTCTGGTAAACAGAGTGTTTTCAGTCAGCTGTTTGAAGCCTAAGGAGGTGTGGGCTGATGAGCTCAGTTTTAGCAAGTATCACACTACACACCACATAGGGCTAATCAAGTTCTTAGTACCAACCATCCACCTTTTAACTCGGGATTATTCTCGCTGCTATGCACATGACAAAAAAACAGTGATTATGAGTCTGCAGGGTTCGTGAACAATTAAAGTGTTGCTGAGGCATATACTACAAAAAGGATTCTCCCTAACTGGAGATGTCCCTTGTGAATGAGTGCCCTCGTAAACTTGAGGGACAAGAGGCGTACAATCGTGGCTTCCTTGGTGACAAATGGCCTTACAAGGATTTCAGCACCTTACAGAAATCTCAGATGCAGGAATTTCCCTTCTGTAGAGGTGAACGCATCTTTCTGCATTTCCTAAGACTGGGCAGTTTTCTGTGGTTAAGCATTCAATGTCTGTAAGTAGCGGATGCGTAGGTGACATCTCTAATTTCAGTTCAAGACAGATTTCTCCAATAGAGCTTATTATAAGTATAATTATATTTACATGCGAAGCTTCAACTTACTGTGCATTGAAATCAATTTGTAAGTTAGTGTACAAAATAATTAGTTTCCTTATGATTTTTCCATACTAGATGATACGGGCTCTCTGGGGCTGGGGTATGAAGGAGAGCGCAGAAGCGGGCAGAAGGCATGGGGGAGGTCAAGCTGGAAGAGAAACAGATATACTCATAGTAGTAAAAAAGTCACCTCTGCAAACGCTTGGGTTTCACCATCTGCCTAGCAGAGCTTGTAACCAATCCTAATTTCACCGTTAGCTATAAATAATGCAAGATTTCCAAAGTACACAGCACAACTGTGAATCTTGAAATGGAACATACTTTATTTTGTCGGTTATAACTGTTCTTTTTTTTTTTTTAAGTGTCTTAGAAGACAGCTTAGGGTGACCTCCAATTCCTTGTGACAGCTACTTTAGCCCACTAAGCCACAGATGTGATGATTCTTGTATGTGGGGACAATCCAGGATGCTTTCCGGATCTGGAGATGGGAGTAGCTTTCTACATTGTAAAAAGGCGACAGGCAGCTTTGATTCTTATAGGCATTCTGTGCCCACTCTTGTCTCATCTATTAGGGACCGCTTCCTAATTATGTCTGTCTGCTTCCTTTTAAATCACCTTCTCCATACTCTGCATCCAATAGCGATTCTTGTAAAAAAAAAAAAATGTACTAAGAACACAAAGGCTCTGACTTCATCCAGCTTTTCCCATAGCTAAGAGGGCATGCTCTATGCATAGGCATTATAACAGTTCTCCGTTATTCGGTGGCATTTATCATTTCCTAGAATTTGGCATTTGGAATAAGATAATCATCATTTTTTTCTAGATATTGAAGGTATTTCATTTCAGTGGCTCAGAGACTTATGAATTGTATAGACTTATAATGAATAGATTAGGTACATGAAGAAAAAAAAAATTGCTTTTAAATTCTTAAAATCCAGCCTTCCAGTTCTTATGTTTGGAACTTCTGTTATACAGGTTTTATTTCTCTCCTGTTGCCTGGCAACAAGATGTGGCCAGTGATGTCAGAGGTTAAGGAGCAAACCAATGTCATGGAAAGTAACTCTATCAGCATTTCCCATCAAACTTTTGTAATCTTCGAAATAAAATTGGTTTCATTGTATAAATGTCTGTGTCTTTTTTTTCCTCCAATGCCAAGTATTTAGAGACTTTTTTTTCTGGATATGAGTCCATTATACATGGACTCATATATATATATATATATATATATATAATTCATATATATAACTATGCACATTGCTTTGTAACAGGCTCCTCTATTACACCGGGCTACTTTGAAGGTTAAAGGGAACAGCCTGTGGCATTATGAAGCATTGGCTATAAGGGAAGTAGTTGTGGACATTTCTGAAAATATTCTAAGCATTAGAAACCATCATTGGTTCTAACTGCCCTCACCAGGGCGCATCAATTAGCATCATACTCAATTCCATTTTGATGTGTATATGTCTGCTTATTAGAAAGGTAACATAAAGCAATCTAGAGCCTCCCTTCTCTATTTCAAGATGGGAAAAACAGCGATTACAATTTGCATAACACCCCCCAGTTCATGATTCTGTAACAAACTCCTAAGGATTCATTGCTCAGAGTAGTAAATGGCATTTTGGTATGGTGCATCATAAGGGTTAGTTTCCAGTTTGGATAACACCCTAGATTTTAGTGGCGATTCATTTGAAAGAATGTTTATAAGCCCTGGCCCAAATGTTTAGCTCTTCCAAATTAACTTCAATAAAAATAAGACACCTTGAGTTAGAATCACATTTCTTATTGGTTTGGAAGAAACCCCTGATTGTTGGCCCTCCATCTCTACCAGCCACTGCAAGGATGTGTCCCTAAATTTTATCACTGAAAAGTAACTGTGCTCTTCTTCCTCCAAATGCTCTAGAAACACGGACCCTCAAGTCCCAGCTAAGTTATTTCTAAACTAAGGCCATACATGGAGTAATTCTTACCAATGGAAATAATTCCTACTCACAGGAAAGTATGTTCATGGATAAGAATCACCCAAAGAGATCTGTCTATTCCTCTCAAGTTTAATCGTTTTACTCTTATGCAGACCAATGTCCTTGGAGTCACTGGCCCTTTCTGAACTGCTAGTCCATCAGACTCCTGGAAAAATAAGCAGACGCCATGTTGCCAGTTGTCTACTTACTGTTGCTATACGTTTCTGCATCAGAGAATGTCTCCAGTGCACAGGCATGCCTTGAAGGTTAGAGTTAACCTAAGCTACATGACATCATGTGGTATGCGAAAAGCGATCGTAGTTCTCTAGTAAGTAGCAAAAGTCGTTGGGAGATATATCAGGGAAGGACAGGGAAATCTCATTTGGTCACAGAGAGGAATGTTTGCGACTACATTCCTTAGACGGGGTCACCGCTAAGGAAAGGCATGAAAATGCAAGCCTAGAACATTTTGCATTAAATCGCAAGATGACATTTAAGATCCTGACAGATACAATTTGCACGACACCTGAGAACGTCACTATGTGAACTAGGTATGATGTAGTTTTGTTGATAACAATGCAAAACTACTATTATCACCTAAATCTTGAATTGCAGCCCTGGGAAGAAAGGTTCATCCCCTACCCCTATAACTGCTAGTTTGAAAGTATTATTTTTTTAAATGATTCCACAAAAAAAAAAGAATGTCTGAAAATATTTTTTTAAATGATTCCACACACACACACACACACAAAAAAGAATGTCTGGATTCATTTAAATTCATTCAGAAATACTTCATAGTTAGACATAGTAAAGGAAAATGGGATGTGCTACAAAAGTAGGAATACTTAAAATGTTAAACTCTGTGAGACTTTCTCAGTGTATTGCTTTGTTTTTGAAACTTGAGAGAGAGAGAGAGAGAGAGAGAGAGAGAGAGAGAGAGAGAGAGAGAGAGTAGTTGGCAGGAAGGGGGTTGGGTCCCTTTGCATCTGCATCCACTGTCTATGCCCCTTGGGATGAAGCATGTAAAGCAACAGGAAATTCTACTTCTAAGACATTGAGAACCCTTGTGAAACAGATGGAAAGATTGAAGGCCTCATTAAGAGAGGTTCCCAAGTTGACCGAGTTTCTGCTCCTCCTCTATAAAACTGTTCACCGGTCACTTCTGACCCCAGGCATTGTTGACAACACCCACTATTCCAGGGACCACACAAAGGCCAATGCCTCCTAAGAGACCCAGGCACAAGGCTATCTCTTTCTGAAATAGCTAAGTTGGATTTAAAGGCAGCACTATCCTTTGTGGCTTATAGAATCACGATCTGTGCATCATGAAGCTGGGTTATCCGTTGTTTCTGCAACTGCGTACAAAGTAAACTTAAAGCCCACGGCACTAGCCCTGCGTTTAACTCCTGGCAGAGAATAAAATGAGCCACAACTTGTGAACGGCAAAGACGAAGGCCAAGTGGACAGCACTCTTGTCCTGGAGACAGCTCAAACGTCCCTCTTAAGAACTCCTACACTGCAAGCTGCCTTCACAACTCAGAGCTGTTTCCAGACTATTTGGACATGTTTCCCCAGAGCAGAGGATTCCTAGCCAAATGGGTCAAACAGGGTACAAAGGAGGACAAAAATAAAAACAAAAAACCCAAAACAAACAAACAAAGCAAGAACATACAAACAACAACCACAAAGGAAGGTGAGATGACATTGTGGCTAAGTTTCATGCCCCTCATCCCCAAATTTCCCTACCAAACTCTGACAAACACAAGGACGGTTATCAGAGCAAAGTCACAGGGAACAAACATCTTAAGACTGTTATTCGTTAAGAATAACTGTTACACGTCCCCTAGAATCCATGTGTTCATTTGCTTAATAGCTCATTACATTCAGGTTCTAATTACAATTATAATTCCTAACCGCCATCCCTTCGCACAGGTATACATTCATCTTAGCAATGGAAAAAGAAAGAGAGAGAGAGAGAGAACTTACCCCCGAAGCCCAAGAGAGACTTTGAGCACAGATACAGACAGATGAAGGAAGGCATGCTGTGTCGCAGTGTAGCAATGTCAAGTGTGGCATCCGCACACAGCTCCCACTCTTCTAGGAATACACAGACAACTCCCGGCAGTAAAAGCAACGTTCTTACTGTGCCTTCTAAATCCTTCCCTTGAATGCAACTCTCAAAAAGCGAGCCAGGAGCCAGAAGCAGTGACTGCGTAGCATTTGGGGATGTCCTTGGGATTCTGCTCCTGTTTTCTCCCTGGGTTCCCAGAGTAGCGGACCTGCATGACTGTGCAATGTTCTCCAAAATGCTGTGGAAGGAGGACTCTAGGAGGGAGACACGGAAAACCTGAAGCGTCTACGTCTCCCCGTGACCCTGGCTTCTAGGCATCAACATAGAATCTGCTGTCTGGCATCAGTTTTTCAGTTTTCTTGGGTCTACTGTCAAAATCCTTTTATTTCCCAATTTTCATAAATACACACACCGAAAGGTCTATAGGCAGGCTGTTAAGTCAAAGGGATAATTACATCCATGCTTGCCCTTTATTTCATCTTTTCTTTTCAATCAGTTTCCTCATATCTTCTCCAAGTAGGTCTGAGTGTATCTAATTGGCTTCAGCCCTAAAGTATAATACTCCAGAAATACACCACACACTGGCAAACAGCCAGTTAGGGCAAAATTCTAACAGAAACAACTCATTGATGGGTGGCTTCTTTGGGAGGGGGCAGAGCCCACTCCACAAGGAAGAAGTAATGTTTTGGTGTCTAGAATGCTCTATAGAAGAATGTAAAGTACCAACTGCAAACACTAATTTAAAGTCAACCTTATGGACAAACATATTATCATTCCATCTTTAATGGATGAAGAAACTATCTCAGGACAGTCAAGTGACATGGCCCATGCTCAAAACAAACAAACAAACAAACAAACAAAGAAAAACCAGTAAGAAAAGTTCAACTCAGCTACAAAATAATGAAAGGCAGGAACAGACATTCCATGATAGTGGAATGACTAGCCCACACATGTGACAAGAGGTGATCAGTGCCATCGATCATAAGAGGAATATAAATTCAAATGCCAACAGGGGATAATTGCATTGAATGATAGAAATTAAAACTCCAATTTACAAACATCAATTAACAAACACTAAAGAACTGTAACAATTCCAAGCCTTGGAAGAAGATCTAACAATGACCTAATTAAGGCTGCAGAGCAAAGCTGAACATTTAGATACTTTGTTAGACGACTCTACTTGATCCAAGACACCTTCTCAGACCAGGGCATCAGGAACCACAGTTATAAGGACATTGAAACAGCTCACAGTACCATCCTCAAAACACCCACCAAAATTAGAGGCTGTAAGTAAACAACGTATGTTTACTTACAACGTATGGACAGGAGTAGGAAACATATAAGAGCAAACAGATTTAGCACACATACCACAATATAGATAAAAATTCACACCAGAAAGTATCCAGAGGTTAAAACCAACGGAATGTCTGTTTTAAAAGTCTAAAACAGTGAAAGTTTAAAATTCCTTTTTCAGAATAGCAATGAATGTCAGTAGAGTGTAAAAATAAAATATAGGTTAGACAAATAGGTTGAACAAATATGTCCTGTCAGGTGTAGACAGGGAATGGGATGAGGGGTTGGCCAAACGTAGGGCATTGTCAAGGTTATTGTCAAATTTCTAGGTTTTGTTTCGGAAAGTGTTTTCAGCGCTTACTACATTACTGGAATTGTCTAATCAATAATGGGATAAAACATATAGAGGAAACACGGATGAGGTTGTTACATTGACCAAAGACCACTGGAATTCCAATGTTGTATATCTGAGCTCCTAAAAACAACCTCAGAAGCATTATAAAAAAATAAATCAGCCAAAAACCTGTCAGGCATCCATACATGGATGCTGATATTGTCAGAGTTCAAGTTCCAGTCTACAGACCCCAAGCTCTGGGCTGCCTGCAGACTTCCTTTCCCAACACGACACACAAGAGCAGCAAACACGCACTATTCCATTTGCTTGTGGCTGGTGAGGCACAGTTAGAAGTGTTGGCATGTCTATACAGACACTGTTGGACAATAGAGAGACCAGGCTAGAATAGAACCCTTGGACCGACTCGCACCAACAGCACTCAAGAGGACATCACAGCCGCCGGGTCTCAGCTTCTTCGGGACGTGAGGGCTAGATGTGTCGATCAAATGGTAATATAGTGGCTAAAACTTTTAGTTGCTTACACCAAAGATGTATTGAATGTGACCATCACTAGAAGGACCTATGGGGCATGAGTATTCTTATTTCAGTTTGACGATGGGGTGATTAAAGTGAAGGAGATTAAGAAATTTTCCCAAAGCCATACAGTTGTGATGAAAGATGGGAGAGGTTTTTTTTTTTTTTTTTTGCCACATCTTTCCTCTTGCTCGATTATTCAGGCTCTTAATATCTCACACGTGTAGACACGCAACCCTATTCGTGGGTAGACACATGTATAGATATGCACATACACTCTCCTGTACAGATACACAAACGTGCACATATAAGCACTAATATGTACATATGAGTATAGACTCCTGAGTATAGATGCATATATGTGCTGATACATATTCACACATATATGTAAAGACACATAAAGTAGTTATTTTATCACTGTAGAGAAATAGCTGAAAATATCAACTCAAATGAGGAAAATTTTGTTTGTGTGTGTGTGTGTCTGTCTCTCTACAAACACATATGTAGACCCTTTGCATACCACTCATACATACAGATATAAGTACATCCCCATGTGCACATACAAACACATGTGTAGAAACGTTTAGATGATGGAGATGGGAGGATAGACTGAAAGTCAGGAGAACTTGCTGCTCTTTCAGACGACCGGAGTTTGGTCCCCAGCCCCCACTTTGGCTCATAACCCCAGCTCTAGGGTATCTGATGCCCTCTTCTGCTCTTCACGGGTACCCACCCACATACATGCACACAAATATAGACATATGCACATAAAGAATAAAATAAATCATAAGAAACACTCACATACACATAGAGACCTTCATGAACAAGCATGGAGGTTTGCATACATACTTCCGTAAGTATTCATACACGTGTGTGTATAGATGCATACACATATAACTATGTAACTAGACATATGTAAATGTACATGCATGCATATATCCATGTACAAATATATAGAGATGTGTTCATACACACACACAAACAAAGAGCACACACACACAACAGCAAAGTACATACACAGCACACACACACACACAACGCATACACAGTGTATTTTATCACAGTCCGTCCGTGTCAAATATCATGTAGGTCTCATGCATAGAAATCTAATCTAAAGACGCTGCATTTCCAACTGGACATTTAACATACAATGCAGGAAAAGAGAATACAGATGTGAAGTTTTATCTCAAACCAGAAATTTTGGTTTTCTGGCATTCTTATAAAAAAAAAAAATCCATGGAGATTTAAAATGTAAAGAACAAAGAACTTCCTCCCAAATGAAATCTGAATGTGAAGGACCCCATGGTCCCTCGACTGGCTTTTCTTATGAAAAAAAAATATCAGCAGAGGGGTCCAGTGCTAGTTTACAATAGCTGCTGGCTAGCAGGCAGCCGAAGGAGAGGTACCCAAGGCTGAATGCTCCGCGCATTTCTTTATTTCACATGGAAGAAGAGGAAAGACCCTGGTGGAGAACTCAACACTGGGCAGCTGCCTCCAGGCTTGTTAGCAAGCCGTGATTTAAGTGTGTATTGCCACAGAGAATCAAACTACATCTGGATTCTACAATTTAATTTCTCTCAGCATTAAACAGATGCTTACTTTTATGATGTTAAACGGTGTATGTTTAAGTATATCTTAAAACTAATGTTTTCCAAATACTGTAGATGCTCCTTGGTGTTTTTATGTAGCTCAAGTGGTTTTAGCACAGAATAGCGCTCCTACGGAAGTCCAGGGTAATGAGCTATCAAATCCCTAGTTCTGAGTGGGAGAAGTTGAGCCTTTGAGGGTGAGTGGGATCTCTGAGACTTTTCTCTGTCTGAGCTGCCCGAAGAACCCGAGTGACAATTTTCACCGTACATGTTTAAATTCTCCCACAAATTTAAGTGCCTCATAGGATTTAAAACCAACACAGAATCTACTGCTGTGGTAATCCCACCAAAGCTCTGACTACTCATAAAACATCTTAGAACAGAAAAGTCATGTTTTCTTTTGCCAGACAATAAATACCTTTAAAATATGGGCTGTGAGCATTTTAAGAGACGTGGCTCTAAAAAACAATTTTCACAGGTTTGCCCAGCATGTTACTGATCTTGACCAAATCTTTGGTGCACAGGCTCTTTACTATAATTTCATTGGAAATAAAGGCACAGAAGAAACTGGATATATATATATATATACACATATATATGTATATATACATACATGTATATGTATGTATATATATACATATACATACATATACATACATATACATACATACATACATATATCCTTCCATAAGGAAGGAGTATGTGTGGATCTGTTAGGCAGATTCGAGAACCTTTGAATAGATTTGCCGCAGTGGGTCAGATGTTTTTAAGTGGAATAATCGCATCCCCACAGCACTCACTAGGTTGTGATGCATTTCACTGTTTTGTTAGCAAACGATCTAATTTTTATTAGCTTTCATTTGAATGCTCGGGTACTGATAACAGCATTACAAAGTTAGGCTCCAACCTTCTTTTCTCCACCCACAAAGAGGAACGACAGGTCTTTCTGGGTTGTAAGGGTTAAAACACATTAACAAAACTCACTTCAGGATTCTTTCTGGAACAGAATGAGATGCTAGGTAAAGGCTAAAGGAAAGATGAGGACCCCATGGCAGGTGTTAGGTATCCTAAGTGCTCAGTCAGTGTTTGATACAAAAAGAGAAGATTTTTACCAGAGCAATTAATACACATCTGGAAGCAACTTAGAGCTATGCGTGGTGAGACATCCCCATGTATCAAATCATTCCATCTGATTCAAAGTGAGAATCTGCAGTAAATTAAGACCAAAGGCAAAGTGCTTCAAAGAGGAGGCCGACTTCAGGGAAAAA